AAATATACACACATACACTCATGTACACACACATAGATAGATATATACTCACATAAACTCATACATAGTCAAGTACACACATAGACATACACATACACATGAATACTCACTCATGCACATATACTTACATAATATACATACACACATATACACATATACACACATGCACAGAAACACGCAAACATGGCATTGTATGAATCCTCAGATAATCATATTAGCTTTCTATATAATCAACTGTGTGTCATCTGTCTGAACAATTTTGAAAGAAAATCAATTTTGTTGATTTCTATTGTCCACGGTGATATAATAATCTCCAAATAGGAGCATAGTTAGCACTTTTCAAGAAGCATATACTCCCTGCCCGAGATTAACAATGTCTGAGTGGAGTTACAGGGAAGAACTTTGTATTCTACTAGGAATAATCATTTCTGCTTACATGTAGCACTTCTTGTGAATTCAGCATCAGATATACATACACGCATACAGATATATGTGTATCCTTTGATCCACATTCCACTATGTAACTCGTTTCTCTCTTTCCAGGATTAATTGCGAACACCACAGTGCAGAGCGGCACGTTAGCAACCTCTTGTCTTCTGCTGAAGGCTACCTAGGATTATTTCTTTTCAGCTTGAGAGTCAGAAGACCTCCAGAACGAGATCAGATTTCCTTCTCAATGACACAGCAGCTAATTGTTCACCAGTTCTCAGAAACACACATGCTCTGCAAATTCCTCTGCCAGTTGCATAACAATTTGTGTCTGAGGTGCTAGGGATAGAATTTAAGGCCTTGAGCATACTGGGAAGCACCCTGCTACTGAGCTGTACCCCTCAAACTCCTGTTTCCTTGTTCCTCCTCTTGCAGATTTTGATAGATATTAAGGATAGCCAGGATTCTGTTTCTGATAGCAGGGAACATTGATTGATTTTTTTTTTTTCTGAGTGGCAAAGGCAAATGAACTTTGTGTTAATCTCACAGAAAATTTCAGAAGCTTTATGGATACCCAGGGTTCTTCTCATACAGGCAAGCATATCCCTTTTTTGCTCTCGATGAACAAAGAAGGAAAAAGTTACCACTTTCACATATGGTTCGATTCAGGGTAAATTAAAGTCCTTAAGAGGATGGGCCCATTTTTTTCTTTCCTTCAGATAATTTCCCCAAACTCATATTTCTCAAAATCAAGCTTGGATAAACCTTGGATTGCTAAGATGGAATTTCAAGGGTGGACTTGAAACCTAGCTTATCTGATGAATTAAATAAGCATACCTTTCATCTGCTCAGATAGCACTGGTGGAAAGACCTACAAATTGTCAGGCCTTCCTATAGCAGATTCACCCAGGGTCTTTGAAAAGACAACAAATGATATTTGTTTCTTTGAATTGCCTAGTTGGGAGATTCTCTAAGATTTCAGTTCAATGATTTTCCAACAAAATCTACAAACAAATGGAAATTTAAAACACAAGCTTCGCCCTCCCCGTTGAACATGAGGGAATATTTTCTCGCCCCTCCTTTTTCTTAAGGCATGCATTGTAGAAAATGTGTCATCAGTACTGTTCTTATTCTTTGAACTGTCTAGAAATCCCTTTGAGGGAACGAGATGGGAGTTTTGTGAGACCACAGGAGGTCTTTTCTGAGGCTTTAACCAACTTTTTTCAAAGTGCAAACATCCAAGGAACTTGACATCTCTTTCCTGGCTCCCAGAGCAGAAAAACACCTTATGCTTAGCAGGTGCTACCTTCAGCGGGGGTCTGGCTCTATGTTGTAACACTACTTCCTAAAGATGTTTAATTCTTTCTGAGTAAAAATAAAACACAGACGAGTTCCCAATTTATCAGATAAATCTAGGACAAGCTTTGGCTTACAAACATTACATCGATGCTTTTAACTTAAAGGAAAAGTGACTCATTTTATCAGGAGAGCATACACATAATGAACTATGTCTATGTGGCTGTCCAATAAGAAATTCCCAGGGTTCGCATTCTCTTAATGGATTAGCCATGGTGCACATCACATTCTGCTGAGCCAATGCTGTTCAGTACTAAATATGAGGTCACAGTGTCTGTTTGTTTTAGAAAAGGATGGGAGGGCTTACAGAAAGAGAGATGGGGAGAGGGCACGGGAAGAGTTGGAGAGCGGAGAAGGTGAGGAGGAAATGATGCAAACAACAGGACTCCTGGGTGGAATTCTCAAGAAGAAATCTTAACAAGGGTTGATTTTACCTACACAACAATAACAACAATAATAAGGCAGTGAGGTCAAGCTTAATTATTTGGATCTCAGATCTTCTGGAGACCAATTATTTTGAACCCACCCAGATTCACTATTAAGTTCTTAGTGTCCATAATATAATACTGGGGTTCTCTGTCATGCTATATATTGAGAGGACCTTAATTACTGAAGGCTATAATGCCATGTGTCTATTTAAAGTGAATAGTTGTAAATATGTGCAAAGGACTTAATCTCATGGGAGAAGATTATTTTCAGTGTGTGTGTGTGTGTGTGAGTGCGTGCATGCGCATGCGCATTTCTTGGAAGTGGTTTTGGATTCTGGATGTTCAAAGTCTAATTTTATATTATCAATAACAATTATACAGACTGTTTTTACTTTATTTTGCAGGAAGATGTATGCATATTTACATTAAAAGAAAATAGGAACCTATTTACATAGCAGTTTCTTTTGAAAAAATCCTTACTGTGACACTGGTTTTAAGTTACACAGGCTACACTCATATATTAACAAAGTCACCCGAAGAGAGAAGTAATGGGTGAAGTTTCTCTTCAGAATTATGATGTTTCAGTGCATTAGGTTCTTTCTTATATATTTTTAAGACCCAAATAAGTGTATTGTTCAGCTGGTGATAAAACATTGGTTCTGAGCTGCCAGAGTGTCAGCTTAAAAGATGTTGTATTGTTTTATTTCATTGTCTGCACCTTTCTTAAGTGTTTATTCTTGCTCCTCTTGTGTTTAGTTTTTTAGCTGTATGGAGATTGCAAAGGGATATAGGAAGGCCAGAATGCATCCAAAATGGTGGCTCTACCTGTCATAGTATCATCTGTCATTTCTAACCAGATACCAAATTGTAGTGCCTCACATGACCGTGGTCTCCCAGCAGTATCCAAGGGTGATGATGAGCCTGGTGCTGAGCTGTTTGTACTGCTTCAACCTCTTTAATCATGCACAGAACAGCAGTATATTATATTTAGAAAGGAACGGATAGGACACGAGGTGTATGATATTTTATTTAAAGTAAACACATGTATACACCTTTCTGATGATAGAACATAAGCCATACTCAATATTTCCTTTGGTATGACTAAGACAGACTAACTTGTGGCCATAACCAACAATGAAAATAGGTAGAAACACTGACTAAACTTAGATTGAATGGACTGGAGAGATGGCTCAGCAATTAAGAGCACTGCCTGCTCTTCTAAAGATCCTGAGTTCTGTTCCCAACAACCACATGGTGGCTCACAACCGTCCATAATGAGATTTGGTGTCTACTTGAGGAAGAAACCTTGTTAGTAGTTCTCATCAGCTTAGACCATGAAACCCAACATGTACAAGTTCAACAGAAGCACCATATATGGGCTTCCCATGCATACTTAAAAAAAAAAGAAACACTGACTAAACTAAGGTTGAATATGGACAAAAAAGTGGCTTTACAAGTGCTGTTTAATCTTCTTGGACTTTATTTTCATTCTCTGTAAAATGGCATCAAGATATGTTATACAGTAGATCAGAATATATATGTATATGTTTATGTATGGTTTAGCTTGTAAATGTCCTAACATTTCATAAATGTGAGCCATTTGATGAGTTAAAAACTATTTGTAATATTAAATACTACATGCTGTCACCTTGATGAAAATTTGATTATTTTTATTTGTTAGCAATATCAAAGATCTATAATTTAGTCATTTCTTTCTTTCTCTGGATTGATTGTTTCAGAGACTCTCAGATGGTGAGTGCTCTGCTTCTTAGCTCAGGGCTAGTGGTTGTCTGTTGCTACCCTGTGTCTCAGTGCTCTTCTTCCTGTCTCCTTCCACTCTGCTGAACACCGTTTACCCTAAGGATGCAGAGAGCATACACTTTTCACAATGCTACTAGATTTTCTTTCTGCCTAACTTACTCCTTGAGCAGATTATGTTTCTTCATGGAGCCAGCTCTAAGTCACAGGCCTTTGGGGCCACAACTCCTGACCATGATGAAAGCCAGGACAAAACCAAAACCAAAAAAGTTGCTTATGAAAGAGCAACTGGCCTCCTTTGTTCACCACTGGCCATGTTGGATTGTCTCATCCTCAACCATGAGTTAGTACCTGGAAATAGAAAGTTCTAGTCATTTTCTCCTTTGTCATTGTATCACAGTGTTTATCAGACTATATTTTAGACATTAATTTTCTCCCCATCTCATCTTTGATGCTTTCTTTTGTCCACTTGGACTCACTGCTGCAAATGCCCATCTTTATTAGTCAAGTTTATCTTATCTGTTCCAGACAGTCTCGCTGTATCAACTGGGAATAAACACAAGTGAACAAATAGAGACATTTTTGCAATTCCTCCTCTACTTCAGAGCAGTATTATAAAGCCAAGAAAAGAAACATAGAAAGAAAGGCAGGAGGTTCTTTGCTCTCTCTGCTTTATCCCATGGTGCATTTTACAAAAGCTGGACTTTAGTTGAATCCCTTTCCACTTTTCCTTCTTGTTTTAGATATTACATTTTAGAGAGTAATGTATTCAATGCCACAAAAACAGTAAGGCAGCAGTTCGAGATCCTGAAGAGATGTGGGATATACAATTGCACTCCTTGAACAGCACCTGCCCTCAAACCGGGCTTGACTGTTATGGGATCAGAGCTGATCTGCCGAGCCCTCTGACTAGCACCTGATTCAGAATTCTAATTTCACTTCCGTTATTATATCTCCACATTAATGTATAATATTCAATGCATTTCCCTAGAAGTCCTCATCTTCACCAATCTGTTGTTTATTTTGCAGTAATGAATTTGGACCGGAAGTGAAAGGCAGTCTGCTGAAGAGCTTCGGAATGCCGGTGCTAACCGGTGCTGGCTTCCACTCGTGCTGTTTTCAGAATGATGCTCTGTTGCTGAGCTCAGTCCAGCAGAAAGCGCCTGAAAGGTCTGCTGCAACCACATAGCATCATCACACTCGCGAAACCCAGAGCAGGATGGTAGACGAGTAGCTTCTTGCATCGCCGTTCAAGCCTATAATGCCTTCTATAAAGTTGACAGCAATACTAACGCTCCCTTGTGTTTAGCAGCAAAATAAAGCGAAATTATACCTGGATACACGAATGACTGCGACTGTTTATTCCCCCCAATGGTAGTTTTGTTTAATGTATACATTATTAACTGAAACAAGTTTCATTATTGAGAGTGTATCTGTGTCTCAAAGGATGCTGATAGTTTAGGGTCCATCAGTGAAGCTGTAAACAAGAGAAAGGTGGTGATTACCATAATGCATTCTACTTTCTAAACAGTTAGGGTTCTGACATGCTGTATAGACTGTGTCCAAGGGACAGCCTAAGGTAATGGCCAATAATTGGCTGGGATGCCTTCAACAGCCACGTCCCTGCTTAATGCTACAGGAGTCCTGTGAAAGCCATCTATCTCACAGGGAATGCTCCCTCAGAGCAAACCCACACTATGGTGGCAATCCCAAGAGCTCAGCAGTATCACAACTGCGGCCAGCCTCATTGAGACGGTCCATTTGTTTCCCAGTTGCCACCACAGCCATTGTTCTTAGTTTCTTCTATTGATGTCCTTCTCCTACTCCTTCAGGGAAGACCAAGACAACACCTACCAAGAGTCCTCAGCAATTCTCAGCAGCAAACTTCAGGTAGCAAAGGAACATTTGCAAAGTCTTTTCTGACTTGTTTTTGTATGAAGCTCCTATTTCCAGAGAGCCAGATCTCCACTGATGCTTCTCCCTACCACTGCTTCATCAGCACAGCCACCCCACTCAAAGGAGAATGCTATGAAGGAGCAACAGGAATCAGAATGCTCTATTATCACTCATCAGTTGGTACCTGGAAATACCGCTTCTTTTGGTTTCCTTTACTAGTATTGGAAGTGCAATCTCCTTGGTATAGATCTCTGCTCATCCATCTTTCCCAAAAAGCTACATCATCTTCATGAACCACTTAATAGGTCTTACCGTTCATGGTCTTGTAACCAGTTACCACAAGTTGTTAGGATGAATTTGACTTAATATCACGGTGGATGATTTTGTGAAGCAAATAACGTCATTACTTATGTTTTGTGTTTGCAAAAGTAAGCATATCCAAATAGTTTAATCAAGCTAGTAAATGGTAGGGGTAGAAAGCCAGATAATTTGATTCTAACATCAATACTTTTTTAATGTTTCATTCATTCATTTATTCATTTACATATTCATCCAATTTTTGAGTTAGTATATTCCTCATTTCACACAAAATTGTTTTTATTGGAACTTTTTTATATTTAATTGTTAATTAGTAACTCTTATTTATAATATTCTCAATTTTCCTTTCAACACAATTATCCTTATGTGTTTAATGTTTATGTATGTATGTATGTATGTATGTATGTATGTATGTATGTCCATTGTGCTTGTTCAGCATCTCATCAAAGTTGAAAGTCTTTGCTGTGGAGGCAGGAGGTTTTAAGGAGAACACGGAACATGGAGAATCAGTTGCTTTATAGGCTCAGGGATATGAAATTTGCTGTCCAAAGGACGTTGAAGTACAGTGGATGTTTCTGAAGATGAAAGGGGTAGGGACAAGTTAGTCTAGAACAGACAAATATTGAAGCTGTGACCCTTCTCAATTTTGGTTTCCCAGAAATCAACTGTAAGACAAAGTTTTAATACGATTAGTTTGTTTCAGAGGTGACTACCCCCAAATGATGCTAAGAGAGTGAGAAATCACCAAGTGCAGCGTTTGTTATAAAGCACTGACCAAAATGGCCAACTGGAGCACAGTTCACCAAAAAATTCGGGAATACAAAATTGGATGAAAATATGTTAGAACTAGTTCAACTTTGAGAAAAATAAAGGATGGCCCTGTTCTATAGCTTGAGTATCAACCCTCATTGGGCACTAATTCTGATTATGAGGCATTTAAAAAAAGACAAACAAACAAAACATTTAATTGTGCATATCCAGTAAGCCTCATTATTTTATTGTGAAATTTTTCTTTGGGAGAAATGAAATGAGTAGTTTGTTGAACTGTGGTGTTTGGTCTGGTTTCTGAAGTAAAGAACAAGAAATGAGAGACAGGTGGGTGCTTACGTAACAGAGACTATTCTCAGCTCAGTGTCCCGGGCAAGTAGCAAATGTAACAACACTCTCCCTAGAGCTGGACTTCTGTGCATCTCCACATTTGAAAGCATCTTCTACTGGAAATTAAATCCTTTAGTGAGTGGATAACTTCTTTAGAAAGAAAGCTTGTTTGGTTTAGATTAAGCCCAGAGGATTTAGAATTATAACCTAGGAATTATAAAATATTTTTCAGTTAAAAAAATGTTACATTTGGAAGGTTTCCTTCAGTTTCTGTGGTATTCTGTAAAAATAGCTATTATAGTGCCTTGAAGTTTTAGACACTCAATTTGCTTGAATGGAGTGAAATTTTCTTTACTGCATATTTAATGAGTATTTGTTGATAGATTTTAAATGAAGGTTTTGAAATGTGCTTTTAAAAGGTTTTTTTTTATTTTTGCAATTTCTCAGCATCAATTAAGCACAAGAGCCTAGATTTTTCATTGACTGAAAACTCTGGAGGTAAATTTAAAAAAATAATACTACACAAGAGGAAAATATGTGAATATATGATGTGGGAGGTCTTTCTGTTTATGTGTTGCTTTTATTGGTTAATGAATAAAGAACTGCTTTGAACCTATGACAGGGAAGAACAAAACTAGGTGGGGAAAGCTAGGCTGTATGCTGGGATAAAAAAGGGCAGAGTCAGAGAAAAGCCATGGAGCTGCCATGGAGACAGATGTGCTAAAACTTTGCTAGTAGGCCATGACCTTGTGGTGATGCACAGTTTAATGGAGATGGGTTAAATTAATATATAAGAGTTAGCTAATAAAAATTTAGAACTAATGGGTCTAGCAGTAATTTAATTAATATAGTTTCTGTGTGATTGTTTCATGGCTAAGTGGCTAGAAACAAATGAGCGGCCCCCTGCAACAAATATATATAAAACATGAACAAAATAAAGGCCAAATTTCTAGGGAGCCACAGATAGGAATTAAAAAAAAATATTAGCAAACTATCCACTCTAAGAACAATAAAGGATCCAAGCTAGCAGGAGAAAGACACTCTTGTCATGTCAGGGCATGGCACTGGGGCGCGTTGTGGAAGAGTTCATGCACTCTGGATAGACAATGAGATGATTCCTTCGCAGGCTTGGGAAGTCTTTCCAAATTTGAACTGAGTTAAATCATTGAAGTAGGGGTCAAAAAGTATTTGCCCAGTCTGCTTTTGGGTCTCAGTTGAATATTTGTTTAAATAAATATTATATTAGGGAAAACATTGTGGAACAGTTAAATTAGCATTTTTTGTTTTCTTAATAAATATAGTTTATGCAAAATTCTTTATTTAAGCCACTTCTCATTAGAAGAAAATGTGTATTTTCTTCTGTAGGGTACTGCTGCAAGGACTCTGTGGCTGAAACCTGTGGTGGTGAAACAGTAGGGTCTTACTGCAGTTTCTTAATAACCTAAAAGCCCAGTGCACTGGGAGAAGGTGGAGAAAATCAATCCATGGATCTTGATTTTCACTAGAGTAGCCAGTTGGTGAACTCCAGGCTCAGTGAGATCCCATCTCAAAGGATGAAGTGGAGAATGATCGAACCCAATGTTGATCTCAGGCCTCTATGCAGAAGCACAAATGTTAATGCACAACCACACATCTTGACATCATATCCTGGTTTCCTTGGTAAATTCAGTGTGTGGGTGTGCGTGCATGCATACATGTGTGCGTACTTGTGTGCGTGGGTTTGTGTTCATGCGTGTACATGTGTGTACTAACAGACAACAAATAAGTAAACAAACAATACATACTATTATATGTTAGGCTATGCTCTGGATTTTCTTAGTCTGATCCTAGATAATAAACACATTAACTAGGTCCGAAAGAATTTGGGAGAATCCAAAAACAAGTAGTCAGATTTTTTGTCAGTTATAACAGGTAATGCTTTGAGTTGGGGTGGGACAAAAAAAAAAAAAAAAGAAAAAAAAATACCAATGTCAGTTTCCCAAGATTTCATCCTGCAGTAAACTAATAGCATTTACCTAAGAGGGAGAAAATTGAAATAAGACTTCCTCTAAAGTCTCTGTTCTGTCGCTAGCCATAGATGTTATTTCATTATTGCTGCAGTAAATGCCAACAGACTTTCTGCCAGGGTGCAGTGCTACGGAACTTGTTCTTCTTACAGAGTGCTCTTACAAGGGCCTTTCAGCTTTCCCTGCCACACGCCCTCTGTGCAGGTGTATCATTGCTAGTTATTAAATGGCGATGAAAGCCAGAGCCTGTCTACCAGCTGAGACAGCCTCGAGCCCTTTATTTCTCAGGTTAATAGTTCAAGTCTCCACTTGTGCAATCAGCAGGAAATCTTAATGGCTACATCTTGACATTGTACTTCGGGTCCCCTAGACAAGGTCTGCGTGCAAGATGAAACAGGCCTTTGAGAGCTAAGTTCTCCCGGGCAGTCTGGACGGACACTGTACCACTCAATCAATTCTCAAAGTAACAAAATCTGCTGCAAGGTGATGTGCTTTTTGAACTATGGTCGTAGCTCTGCCTTTCTGTGCTCTCTTTTGAAAAGTTCCGCTTCGGCACTCCATCACTGTGGAGGAAGCTTTCCCAAGCAGACTTCAGATATCCCTCGGGTGCTTCACTGACTCATTCAGAGAACTTCTACCTCACACTGTCATCTGGAGTCAAGGGAGCCTAGTGTGAATTGCTCACCATTTCAGAACATACTTGCTAAGTTTTGATCAATAATATATAGAAAGGGCTGCCTCTAGTTAAGGGTGGTTTACATCTTTACCTGTTTGCTAAGAGAAATCCAGCGTTCTCTCTAAGACATCCATGAATTCCTAAAGACTTAGGTATTTCTTTAGTTATTGATTTTATTGAGATATACATTTTTTTCTCTGCTCCTCTCCCTGCCTCTCCCCTCCCCTTCAGCCTTCTCCCATGATCCCCATGCTCCCAGTTTACTCAGGATATCTTTTCTTTTACTACTTCCC